TCCCAACAGCTCCTCGCCGAAGCGCGTCACTCGACACGTGCTTTGCCTCCTCCCTTTTGGAAAAACCTACACTCCATTTCTTTGCTCCGAAACATCTTCAGTCGCGCTCAAGAGAATGGCTTTGAGGCCATGGGCGCAACAGTCTCTAAAGTCATTAACCAGCAGTGCTGAAGTGCTGTCAGCTCAGTAGTAGGTCTTGCCACCACCTCATCCATGCAACTCACTCACATACAAGGCAGCTCCTCCGTGGCCTTTCTACACTTCCAGGATTCCAAGGCTATCACCCCACTTCTCCGGGATGGTCTGGTTCTGATACAAGATGTACGCAGACATGTCGTACCTGGACTCAGCTGGCTCGGTGAAGCATTGTCGACAGCGAGAGACTCACAGAGACGCCGAGGTCTTGGCAAGTCCTGGTCGGGTGCGGGGACACACACCCACACCCACACACGCACACAAGGCAGTCAGCATACCGGCCACGGCAAGCCACCCTCTATCGAAGGTTGTAAGTTCTGGCCCCACTCCTGCTGCTTCATGGACCGCATCTTCGGCCAAATGTCGCCGCCCTTGATGGATGGGTGGACCTCGGAGATGTCCTTCAGACCTTACGAGGCAAAAAGTTGCAGGCGCAAGGAACATCAGTTACCACGCTCTTGCGACTCGCATACACTGAGCACGGCGCCGTCGTACGTGGTGGGGTTGTTCAGGTAGTCCACCAAGCCTGAACTCAGAACGGCAGAGGTCGACAGTAGGTCGACCGGTCTAGAGAAAGAGCACCATGGCACCTGGCGAGACCCTAGGCTCCTTGCCTTCGACGGAGGCACGGTTGGGCTGCGCCCCGCTGAGCTCCTCGATGGCCAGGCCGACGTTCCTGAGCACCATCCAAACACTTTGGATTCATCGTTTCTCTGCATGCACTCTCGCGGTGCTCCGATGAAGCCATGATTCTGGTTGGTGCGGGTACCACCTCCGACGTGGCAAGAGGCGCAGGCTGCGTTGAACAGACGCTTGCCGCGCACGAGCTGCTCCTGACTTCTTCAGCTTAAAACGAGGCGAAGGCAGGGAGG